ATATCCACCCTGTCTGTTCCCTGACTTCCTCCATCCTGTCCAGCAGGATGGGCTGGACAGTGGGAAGCCTGTGTGCACATTTCATGGCAAGTAGGAGCGACACACCATCCCTGGGAGGCACCATGGATTCTGCCAAGCCCAACCCCAGAACTCTGTCCCTGAGTTGGTTTTACCAAACCCAAAACCCAGAACTGCAGTTGTGGCTCAGGGGTCAGCACCCACTAGTGCCAGGACACTACTGGGAGACTGGGTCCTGACCAAAGCCCATGGTGTCTGTGGCCTGAGGACAGAGTGTCTTGGGGCCATAAGGCCAGGCCAGCAATGGCCATTGGGTCATAGGGCCTCAGCCCCAGTGTTTGTCCTTCCCTGGCTCCTTCTAGTTCAGTCCCATCAGGGCCCTGGAACCCAAGACCCAGCACCCAAGTTCCCCTCCAGGAATCCTGGTGGCTTGGCTTACTTTATCGCATTTCATCTGAGAGCAAAAATGTCAGATCAGATGCACAGAAAAATGGCACAAAGTGCTTAATGACTAGAAGAAGTCTAGGAACAGCAAGAAGGTAATGTGAAGAGGGGAGGACCTCCATGACTGGTGTCTGCAGAGCCAGGTGTACAGACACCCAGTGCTGTGGTCTGGCACCACCTGCCTCTCAGAGGGTGGGTGGTACACTGTCCTTACCCAGAGGGCAGCAGGCCTGATCACCAGCTTTTCCACCTGTCCCTGCAAGCATCACGTTGCTAGAAGAGAATCTCATGCCAGAGCTTGGGCCATCCCTAGCTCAGAGGTTAGGAGTTGTCTCTTAGAGACCTAAATGAAAAAATAGGTCCAGATCAGAGTTCCTGATGCAGAGCACGAATCCACTCTTTGAATTGTGGGAGGGGAGGCCTGGTTTTAGGTAAACCTAACCTCTTTGAGGAACCACAGAGCCCAAGACTGGAAACCTCCAGAATCTTCTGGTCCCCGGTCCTCCCCGGAGACCCCCGCGGCCTGTCTCGCCAGGCACTCCTCTGTCTGTAGACGTCTCGGCTGCTCTACAGGGGAATCCACTTTCAGGTGTGCAGCTGGGCATGGTCACTGCTGCTGGATGTCTGGACGGTGGAAACCAAGGAGCTAGGGAAATACCGGATACCGTCTTTCCACCCTCATCCAGAGCAAGACAAACAGGTCAGGCGGTGTCAGGAGCCCAGGTCTCCAGCTGGAAGGAACGTCAACCCTGCAGTGGGAGCCAGGGCCCATCGCACATCCTAGGCACAGATGGTAATGTAGGCACCGGAGGTAAGCTGGGCTTGGTACCCTTCCCTGGCTTCAGAAAGAAGTCAAACAAGGAGCGTTTTGCAGAATGAAACCTCTTTCCAGAAGCACTGCTGACTGTCTGGTGGTTGCCGTTTGTGGCAGTGAGCCTTTTGTCCATTCTGAGATTTGATTGGTTTCTCCTTTTGGCCCTGCCCTGCCCTAGAGACCATAAAGAAGAAGAACAAGAGGCCCCCAGCAAACATCCACAGATAGCCCTGGACATCAGCCACATTCTGAGAAACATGTCGTGTTCTGGGAGGGCTAAGGCGTCAAGTAAGGCCTATGGAGCTGGAGAATCCCAGGGCAGGTGGGGCAATCCAGAGCTGTGGGGGCTTCCCATGGGAATTGGGAGGTCCCAAGGCAGAGTCAGAGGTTCCACAGGAGGAGTCACAGAGCTGGCAAGGGCTCTCCTGCTGGGCTCCAAGCCCTGGGCCAGGCTGGGGCATGTGGGGCCAGGAGGCAGCTCAGAGTAGGAGGCAGAGAGAGAAATGTTCTCAGAGGGCACCCGTATCTGCATGTAATGTGTTCCTGAGATTCTGGCTGGGAAGTGCTTCCAGGGTTTCATATGTGTTATGCAACTGCTTCCTCTCCCCAGCCTCACCCTGCAGGAATTCTAGTGACTATGTTGCCACCATCTTGGAGCTCTGTACCCTCATAGTGTAATGGCACCAGCAGATCTGCCTGTGCACGGACTTCCTGTGCTACCTCACTCCTGAGGGGTGATGCTTCTCAGGGCCTATGACCTGGTGCACAACTTTAGACACCATCATCCTGGAGCAGCACTGCACCCTCACTAGCCAGAGTGTTGGTGACACCCTCAAGGCCAAGGCCATGTTCAAGACTTCGGACTTCAGTGATGCACTTGTGCTGGGCAAGGTGGGCGTCTCTGGGATCTTAATTCAGGAGGTGGAATGCAGCTTGAGATCAAGTGTCTGATCAAAGAACTTGAACTTGATCTGGAGGGCTCTGGGGAGCCATGGAAGGTGCTGGATAAAGGAGGGACAGTCAGCCACGTTTTAGAGATGACTGTAGAAGGCTGAGTGGAAGGGGCGAACAAGAGCCAGGAGACCAGGGAGAGAGCTTGTGGGGCAGGTTTGGAGATGGCAAGGGAGGGATTCTGCTTGGATGAAAAGTCTTCAGGAACTATCTCAGGTTACACTCAGGTACCCTCAAAGCTAGTGTGTTCAGAGGTCTTGTCTCCAGGATGAAAGTGGGAAGGAGTTGTCAGACAAGGACATATATGGAGGCTGGCATCTTCATTAGTGGCAGTGGTGGTCCCGGTGTGGACTACGATAAGAACAGGGGTCTCTCCATTCAGGGACATGGTAGATGGGCCCTATATCACTCCATTCTGCCCTTCCTTTCCCTCTTCCCAGTCTCCCCAGGGCCTCGGTGCATGGGCGCTGTCCATCCTTTGGTGCTGAAGCAGCCAAGCGGCCCAAACCTACCCGGCTGCCTCTTAGGATATGACTGCACAGCCAGTGGCCTCTACTAGATCCTGTACAACTTCACAAGACACCCAGACACTGCGAGTGCTGCCAGCACGTGCTGCAAGAGTCCTGAGGGACCACAATCCTGAAGACATTGAATGGTGGTTGCAGGGCCTCATGGATGTTCCCCAGCCCCTCTCATTGGCTCTGCTCCGGGTGGTGAAGGGGGATAACGTTTCTGTCAATTCTGCCATTATTGCCTAGCATGAAAAGGAGCGTAGCCCAGAAGCAGGGCCTGGTGCCCAGCCTGCCTAACAAGGGAGAATTTGTAGGCTTTGTGGACAGATCTCGGAGTCCATATCTATCACCCACTAACTTGATATGAGACATTAGTAAAATCAGTTCTCTTTTCTGAACTACATTTCTGCGTATGTAAATTGAGGGAAATTTCTTCTACCCCACAAGACTGCTTGGAGAATTAGTGACAGTTTGTGTAGAGCAGATGCCACCCAGCAGGCATTTGGTGTCCAGACCACTCCGCTTCCCCCTTCATTTTCTGCCCAAATTTGCATTCTGTTCCCAAGACCTTCACTCCCCTTAATTATGCTCTTCCCTCTGATTCCCGCCGTATCTGTTCCACGGTGCATTGAGGGCGACAGCAGCGGTGGATGTATTGGCATTGGCACTAGTGGTGGCAGCCGCAACAAGTCTGTGGTCAGGGAAGTGGGAGTGGGAGAGCAGTGGTGGCCTGCCTGACCTGGCCTGGCGTGGGTAGGAAGCTGTGGGTGCTGTATCATGGGCCTCAGTGGCAGCAGTGGAGGCACAGCCAGGGTAAGGAGGAAGAGACAGCATAGAACATGTGCCTCAGAGTCATTCCAGCCAGAGAAAAGGAGCTGGGGTATTTATCCACCAATACCCACCAGTCATTCCTTGGGGTTCCTTTCAAGGGCATGATTCCTCCAGAATGTCCTGCCTGTGCTGCAAGGGTCAGACCTGGGATTGAGGGCAGGGTCCCTGACAGTGCCTCCAGCAGTGAGCAGGAACACAGCCTGGTGTGGAGAGTTTCAGTCACTCAGTGACTCCAATGCACGCGTGCACACACACACACCACACTCCAACACCAACACAGTGCATATGTACATACACATACATGCATACATGACTGTTACCCACTTAGATCCTTGTGAATCCATGGAATAGAAACAAAAAATAGAAGAAGTGGCATAAGCAAATAAAGAGGAACAAGAAGAAGATGATGAGAAAAAGAAAAAAACAGACTGGAAGAAAGGAAAAAGAACAGGTGAGGGAATCGGAAGGCCTATTACGATACCTTCATTCCCCCTCCTTGATTCAATAAATTTGAAAAAGTTTAAGACTTTTTCATAACAGCAACAAAAACAAGCAAAAAGATACACCAATTTTAGTCACCCCATCAATTTTGTTAAAGAATGAAATAAGGCTCCACTCACACCTGGCTCAGGTGTCAGCAGGAGGAAGAGACTTCAGATTCTGCAGGAAAACGGGAAGGACTCCTCCTTACCCTGGCTGTGCCTCCACTGCTGCCACTGAGGCCCACGATACAGCACCCACAGCTTCCTACCCATGCCAGGCCAGGTCAGGCAGGCCACCACTGCTCTCTCACTCCCACTTCCCTGACCCCAGACTTGCTGCTGCTGCCACCACTAGCGCCAATGCCAATAGAAGCACTGCTGCTGTCACCCTCAATGCACCGGCCCACCCTACAAGGTTCCTACCCCCTGGCCACTGCCACACCCCTGCCCTGACCCTGGCGATAACCAGCCATGCTGCTACTGCTCCAGTGCGCTGCAGTCTCTGTCACGGCCACCCACTGCAGCAGGTGGTGGCAGCGAGGTGAGCCACAGTGTGGCATGCCCCAGCCTCCAGAGTGCAGCAGGGGCTCCTCCTCCTGGCACAGAGCAGCTTGGCTTGCAAAACCAGAAAAGCCTAGAACAGGATGGAGAGAGAGGTAGCAAAGCCTCACCTTGTAAGGCTGGCCACTGGGTGGGAGGGGCTGGTTTCACGGAAGGCACTCACACCCTCCAAAGTCCAGCCTCTCCTCTGGCCCAAGGGGCCAGGAACTGGGGCCCGGGGTGGGGACTGGAGACTCCATAGTGGCTGGCTACCCACTCCACAGGAATTGCTGGGCAACGGGGCTGCGGTCCTCTGGACCAGGAACAGCAGAAACTCAGACCCAGCCACCTCCCCCCACACCCAAGTGCCGGTTTCCACTCCTGATGCCTCCACCACTGGGTCCTGTCTGCCTATGGTGCCCGCTACTCCATGCCTGGGGGTCCCAGGTTGTCTCTGCCACACAGAATTAGAGGACGCAGATCCAGACACTACAGCGGGTGTGGAGGTCCTGCAGTGTTCTAGATTCCCATGGAAATGCTGTGCACCCGCCGCACTACAGCACAACCAGGAGTCTCGAGTCTGGCTCCTTCCCTGGAGACCACCACTGTGGCAGCCACCTCTGCCATCTGCAGTGCAGCCTGATATCTCCCTAACCCCCACCGGCAGTGTATCCCCCAATAGTGCCCTAAACACCACCCCCCACTCACCAGCAGTGTATCCCCCAATAGCACCCCTAATCCCTGTCCACCTCAGACACTGCAGCACCCAGTAGTGCCCCCAACCTGCTGCCGGCCGCGGGAAGCAATGCCCAGCATAGCACCCCAACCCGCCCCCCACCGCAGGCAGCACAGCCCTGGATAGCACCCCAACCCACTCCCCGCTGCAGGCAGTGATGCCCCAAATAGTGCCCCCAACCCGCTCCCCACCGCCAGGCAGTGCAGTGGCAGATACGCACTTACCCTGCCTTCACCTTTCTACCACTCCCAGCTGGTGCAAAGCAGTCTCCATCACCACCACCAACCTCAGGGAGGCGAGCCATGGTGTTGCAGGCTCCAGCCTCCAGCCTGTGGCAGCGCTGCTCCCTTTTCTCCTCCTGTAGAAGGGCAGGGAGCAGCTCTGGCTGCCTTGCCCCGGTCTTACCACTTTGGCGACAGTTCCGTCTCTGTCGTGGCCACCCATGTTCTGATTGGATGAGAGAAAACCTCTAAGCCTATTCTGATTGGACTTTATTATCATGTTGTGATTGGTTAGCCTAAGATCTGCTCTCATCCAATCAGAACATGTAGTCCAGGAACCTTGGTATATAAAGCATGCTAAGGCGGAGTTAGGCCATTCCAGGCTCTTCTGAGTTTGTCGGTTCTGCTGGTCCATATCAGGCTTGGAAGCCCGACCTGCGGCATGCTGGAGGCTGGAGCTTGCGGCTTCGGCTCCGCAGCTCTCCTCGCTGTGGTAGGTGGAGGCTGGAGCTTGCGGCTCCACGGTTCACCTCACTGTGGTGGGCGGCGAAGATGGAAACTGCAGCGCTGCCTGAGCGGTAGGAGGGCTGCCTGCGGCGGAAGTTTCTCTGTGCCCTGCTACAGGAGAAGAGGGAGCCCCTGCCACAGGCTGGAGGCTGGAGCTTGAGCTTCGCTGAAGTTGGTGGCCACGAGGAAGACTGCAGCTTGGCTAGAGTGGTAGAAAGGCAGCGGGGTAGGTGCATATCCGCAGCTACTCTGCCTGCAGCAGGCAGGGGTTGGGGACACTATCAGCTGCTGGCACAGCCCATAGCAGGGGCGGGTTTGGTGAGCCATGGTGGAGGGGGGCTACAATGCCTGCAGCCGGAGGCAGGTTAGGGATGCTACCGGGTGCTGCATTGCCTGAGGCTGGGGGTGGGTTGGGGATGGGATAGGGGGCTGCACTGATTGCTGTAGCTAGGATTTCCAGTACTATGATAGGTAACAGTGGTGACAGTGGACATCCTTATCATGTTCCAGATGTTAGAGAAAAGGTTTTCCGTTTTTCCCCATTCCCTATGATTCTAGCTGTTGGTCTCTCATATATGGGCTTTTATGTTGAGGTATGTTTCTTCTGTACCCAGTGTTTTGAGAATTTATAGCATGAAGAGATGTTGAATGTTATCAAATGCTTTTTCAGCTTCAGTGGAAGTAATCATATGGTTTTGTCCTTTATTTGGTTGATGTGATGTATCACACTGATTGTGTTGCATCCCAGGGATAAATCCCACTTGATCATGATGAATTATCTTTTCAATGTATTGTTTAATTTGCTTTGCTGGTATTTGGTTGAGGATTTTTACATCAATATTAATTAGAGATACTGGTCTACTTTTTTGATGTCTTTGTCTGATTTTGGTATCAGGGTAATAATGGCGTCATAGAATAAGTTTGGAAGTATTCCCTCATCTGTTTTTCAAAATAGCTTGAGTAGGATTGGTACTAGTTCTTTAAATGTTTGGTAGAATTCAGCAGTGAAGCCATCAGTTCCTGGGCTTTTTTTTACTGGGAGACTTTTTATGATGGCTTCAATGTTATTGCTACTGATCTGTTCTGGTCTTGGATGTTTTCATGGTTTAATCTTGATAGGTTGTATATGTCTAAGAATTTGTCAGTTTCTCTAGGTTTTCCAATTTATTGGCATGTAGTAGTAAGTTACGATCCTTTGAATTTCTGCAGTATCCGTTGTAATGCCACCTTTTTATCTCTGATTTTATTTGAACTTTCTCTTTCTTTTTAGCTAGCCTGGCTAAAGGTGTTTTGATTTTGTTTAACTTTGTAGAAAACCAACTTTTTGTTTTGTTGATCTTGTGTATTTTTTATTTCAATTTTATTTCTGTTATGATCTTTCTTTTCTCATAATTTTGAATTTAGTTTGCTCTTTTCTAGTTTTTAAGTTGTTTATTTGAAGATTTTCTTCTTTTTTGAGGGTAGGCACTTATAGCTATAAATTTCTGCCTTTGCAGTGCTTTCTGTGTATCGTAAGTTTTGGTATATTGTGTTTCCATTACCATTTGTTGCAAGAAAGTTTTCAATTTTCATCTTAATATCTTCATTGACTCACTGGTCATTCAGGAGCATATTGTTTAACTTCCATGTGCTTGTATGGTCTCCAAAATTTCTCTTCTTGTTGGTATCTAGTTTTATTCCTTTCTAGTCAGAGAAGATGCTTGATATTATTTAAATTTTTTAATGTTTTAAGACTTCTTTTGTGACCTAACATATCGTATGTGCTTAAGAATGAGCCATGTGCAGAATAATGTGTATTCTGCAGCTCTTGGATGAAATATTCTGTAAATATCTATTAGGTCTATTTGGTCTATAATGCAGATTAAGTTAAGTGCTTCTTAATTTTGTTTGGAAGATCTGTTCAATACTGAAAGTGGGGTGTCTCCAGCTTTCATAGTACTTTTTATAGTCTTTTATATAGCTTTTTTATAGTCTGTAGCTATAAATGTATTGAGTTCTAGCTCTCTGACTGTAATAACATTTCCTTTATATATCTGTGTGCTTCGGTATTGAGTGCTTAAATATTTACAATCGTTACGTTCTCTTG